AATAATATCACTGAGATTAAACATGCTATGAAATGGAATATATATATATATATATGTATATATTGATTCTTTCATATTTTTAATCTCTCTTTATGATCTAAAATTACAGAATTTAAAAGAAGGCAATTTTTTAATACATAAATAATAATAATGCATAATAATACAATAATAAAATAGAATATATTGAAATAAGAGACTTCACTCAACGATATCGAAGTGTAAAATTACAAGCAAAATAGAAATGTTTTCTTCTTCTTTTTTTTCCCTTTTTTTTTGTCTTTTTCTCTTTTATTAAAAAAAGAAAGTTCTTTGAACCTCTGATGAAGAATATGCTTTTTTTTTCATATAATTTAAGACAATATGTGGAAAACTAGTAGCTTATTTTTGCTTTTCACTTACTTTAAAAACCCTAAAATATGTTTTTTGTTTGTTAAAACATGTTTTGTTTAGAAGGTGTCATTAGATGCAAAAGTATTCTGTAATGTAGCAGTTAATACTGTACATAGAGTACTCATCGTTAAGAAAATAACGAAAATTAAATCAGTTCATCAATAAATTAAAATATTGTTCTCGTTTCGTTCGAATTAACAAATACGTTAATCAAAATTAGCTAAAACCTAAAATAAACTTAGGCAGAGATTGAATAAGTTGTTCTTTTTTTTACTTTCTGCTTTTCTTATAAATAAACGCCATAGATAAAATTCCCATCGTTAAATATATCCATTATTATTTTTTTGTTTAATTGTACAATAACCTTTGTCAAACAAAAGAAAATTGAGTTGAAAATGAATAAGGTGTTGCCATTAGAAGGTCCTTCGTCTACGAACTTCTCATTTGATACTCCAGAAAACAATGAATCGTTTGATGAAAACGAAACCGTTAATTTGTAACGGTCTTAAGCAACAATTATGATTGGGTCAAGGGAAAAACAGAACAACAGAAAGATCGGTTTCATTGTTCGCATTTGAAAATTCTTTGCGTTAGTCGTGCATTATGAATAAAAAGTAGAAAAAAATGAATATTTTTTTATTCTATGCGTTTTACACTTGTATTTTGTAGGTGATTGTAGTAGATTTTTGTTTAACATAAACCATGTAGTAGACTCAAGTGTAATTGTACACAAAAAAATCATATTTAGTTTTTTTACAGTAATAAGGGTGATACGTTTTAATCTCTCTCGTAGTTGTGTTTAAATTTCTTAATTAATATTTATCTAATAATGTTTCAAAACGTATATTTTGATATGATGAGTTATTATACTTCAATTATATTCTTCTGTTATGATGTTATATTTTTATATTATTGTATTAAACAATCGGTATTCTGTTATGAAGTTATATTTTTATATTGTCTTCTTTCGTATTTTAGGTCATTATATTAAAAAAAAATATGTTGATATTCTCATAATTATGCTTTTTATGTTTGCTGCTGCGGGTAGAAATATTACACCAGATGTTTGAAGATTATAAATTTTAAATAAATAAATTTTTTTAGGTTTGTTAAAACTTCTTTATGCATGACTTAATTGCTTTAAAATTAGTAATAATAATAAAAATTAATAATTTTAAATTTAAATATTGATAAAATTCTTTTTTTTTTTAAGAAAATATAACTATGCCTAATTTGTTTGACTTTGTTACAGGATTTATGCCTATATTTTCTATCGACGAAACTAATCTTCATGGAATAATATTAAACTAAGTAAAATATATAGAAAAATGCAGGTATTTAATTAAAAAAAATGGCTTGTCAAGGTTAAAAAAAATTTAAGTTGAATGTGGAAACTTTGGAAATTGAAATGGAGACTCGAGTTCTAGTCCGCTATGGACGTAAAATTTTTGCCAGTTTAAGATCCGAGTAGAAAACGGATTAGAATGCATGACTTAGAATATTCTAGCTTAATTTCAGAAGTAGGTTCTTAGATTTAAAACGCAAACTATAAAATCATATTTTTCGTAGCGACGATCAGTAGAAAGTAATTACTCCGAAAGTTATGTTGGTCGAAAACTTGAATCCAAGGTTAGCATGACTTAATATGTTAGTTTTTTTTGGTGACAATTATAATCGTGAAGCAATTTATACGATATTTTTATTGCATGATCGTAGTATTACTTACTTTCTAGGTTGGCGTTTTTTTAGGGAACATTTTTAATTCATAAAAATTAGAATATTGTTTAAAAGAAAGGTCAAATGATAAGTCTTTCCTTTGTACATTTGCTAATGATTCAGATGATTTATTTAACAAAACATTTTACTTACCATGAAACCATGATTTTGGATGAGCCATTACGCCGTACTGAATGTATTTTAGGTGTCTCTATAAGAAGAAATAAGAAAAATTAATATAACGTTTATATTATTAATCATGAAGTTCTTTCTAAAATATTGTTGAAATTTTCTACTTGATTAAAAAAAGAAATAGTTTTGTTTGTGCCGATAGTTTATTATTGTGTAAGGGGTAAAATAGGTTCTAATGTTTTAAAATTTTTAATGTTATTTATAAATTTTATGTTTCAAAATTATTGCATTAAAAATTATATCGAATAATGAAAGACGTTAAAGAATATTTTTTCTAGAATAAGTTTTTAATGATGGATGTAAGCTTCAAAGAAAGAGAAAACTAATTTTGAATAAATTATTTTTATGCTATAAATTTAGAAGAAATAATTGAAGTTTATATAAGTACTTTCATGATTTTCTTCTTTGAAGTTTGTCATTCAAAAATTGAAATTTTAAACAGAACTTCACATTTTATGCCAACAAAATTCTAAAAACTAAAGAATTATTCTCTGTAAGAAATATTTGTGTATTTTAGCACCGAAAATGGGTTGTTAACTACTTAACACCAAAGGTGGTGTAGTGATAAATTAGAGATAATTCTTGGTGTAATCAAACATCAAACACAGTTCTTGGTGTAGAATCACGAGTAATGTTCTTTTACACTTTTTTTTGGTGAAAAAGCCATTTTGTTTGGTATTAAGGTTCACTAAAACTTATAATAGCAATGAAATGTTAATATAAATTATTACTGTAAAAATTGCGGTATATCATATTTTCGTTCCGAATCATGTTCCGGTAAAACTGTATCTCATGGTAAAAAGTACTTGTACCCTGAATGCCTTTATTTTTCATCGTAATTTGACCCGGAATGTTTTACAGTGTAGTAATTCACGAGAAATTTTTCTGTTCCCTACTTTTAGGTGAAAGACCATAATCTTCGGTATTAAAATTCTCTAAAAGTTAAAAAAAGAAATAAAACGATAAAACGTAATACTCATAAAAGGAAGTAAAATTATTTCTAAGATACAATTTAGGATTTAAACAACTAGCTAGTTAATGATGGATACAGACCTTTCTTAAAATAAAATTGGTTAGTGTATCAGACAAGCGTATAGCTGAGAGAGAATATTACGACGAATTCGAATTAGGCTTAACAGAACAAAAGCGGTTAAAATTTAAATATTATAAAATGTATTTAATATAATTGATAGATTAAAAGTGAATAATTAAAGTATATTAATATATATAATACTTATATACATAATATTTTTTACACAACTAGAAACATGCATAATTTTTGTAGCAACGAACTAACAGAAACCCTACAATACGGGATGAAAAAAATATTCTTAATTTATTTTGATAATCATTAAAACTATTAAATTTTTAAAAAAAAACAATATAAAACAAATTTTAAGATATTTTTAGGATTAATTTCAAAACATTTTATTATTATTTATTTTTGTGTTTTACATTATATATACACATTGTTCATCACATTGTTTTTTATTTTTTTCTAAAATACAAATTTGAACTTTTTTACGTAGTTTCATTAAACATATTCCAAAGAGATTTGCAAAGTTTGAACTATTTCCGAAAAATTAAAATCTGTCCACGACACTGAAACATGAAAAAAGTAAAAAGATGCAAAATTTCTTTTAGAAAACAGCCAATTAGGTCAATCAGTTACACCTTCACTTTAACCTTAAATAAATAGCTTTAAAGTTTTTTTTAAAAGTTTAAATAAATTGCTTTAATTATTTTCTTTTTCTTAAATAAAGGTGTCAAAGTGTTATAAGATAATGAGAAAATTGCAGATCATTTCTGAGAAGTGTGTTAACGTGTCATAAAATCAATTTTTAAAGCAACCAATACACAGTTTTTGTCACGAATGGGTTGTTTTTCTTATCTGATAAAGACGTTAACATCCGCAGACTGAATACAATCTTTATGACTTATCCGATAAGATCTAAGACAAATATTGGACAAGAAAAACTGTTGTGGTAATTTATCCTATTAGGAACGAAATCTATCTGCTTTTTATGTATCTATAATAGGTTTGATTAATGGTTACTTTATCTTTACAGTTATTGGCATCTATTACATGAAGATGGTTGTCAGATTCAGTCATCCAGAGCAAAGTGAATAAGAGTTACCTTTTTTTCCCTCTCACTGAAGCAGAACTTGCTTACTGTTTCTAATAAATTCTTACTAACAAACACATTAGGCCTTTTTTTTAATTTTTTATATCATTTAGAGATGATAATCAATATAATAAAATACTGTCAAAATTTTGTGTTGAATCTTAATGTTTAACAATGGAATTTTAAGTATTATGGCAAAATAAGGATAAGTCAAATTTTCAAACTGTTCAAAAAAACGTTTTGAGGAAGGTAAAAAAAAAAAAAAAAAAAGTGAGGNAAAAAAAAAAAAAAAAAAAAAAAAAAAAAAAAAAAAAAAAAAAAACACGGCAATTTTTATGTAAGCAACGAAATGGTTCTTTGCATTGTGCTGCCATCTAGTGGAAATTTCCGAAACTTTCAGTTCTGTATACTTTTAATAAAATATAAAGAAACAATACTAAGGAAACGTATCGTGTTTTCGAGTACTTTTAAAAAAGGATAGCTTATCACTAAACTGCTTCCATAGTATCAATGTATGCTTATATTTAATGAGTTTTCTAACATTGTGCTCATGAAATAAAAACTTCTCCCCTTTTTAAAATTATTTTGAGATTGAGAGGCTTGGGGCAATATAACGAAGTCACAATTTCAAAATGTTCAGAAGAGCGTTTTTTTTGAGAAAAACATTGCAATTTCCATGTGATTAATGAACTGTTTTTGTGTACTATGCTGTCAACTAGTAGAAATTCTGGAAACGTGCAAAATATCTCACTAAAAACAATACTAAGGGACAGTTTCACGCAAAAATATCTCTCAAATGTCCCTTCTCTTTGTAGCGTTTAATTGTATACATATTATAAATGCAGTTTTTGTAACATGGAATACAAAAAGTAAAATTATATTTCAATTGTAAGATTTGGGTCAATATGGCAATAAGCCACAATTTAAAGTTATTCAGGAAAGCGCTTTTTGCGTAAAACAACAGAATTTCTGTGTCATTAATAAAATGTCTCTCATTAATGTGCTGCTATCCAGTGCAAACTGCAAACACTTGTTAAATATTAATGTTTCAATTTCAAAATAACTCTAAGAAGATTTGGTGTTATTTCGTGAACTAACAGCATCATGTAAGAAATACTGCATTTAATATTGGATACAATCACACACGCGTAAATTTTAAGGATGCAACTTTTTAAGCGAAAAAACATAAGCAATTAAATTACGAAGTTTCAATTTTTAAAATATTTTTTTAAGACAAACACGCAAAACTGCTGGTGCTATTCAGAGTAATACAAATTAACTCAAGCTTTGAGAAATATTACTTAGAAATCTGAAACCTATGTCGAAGTGCTATTAAAATTCTCTAGTGTTGAAGTGTTATTAAAATTTTCTAGTGTTGAAGTGTTGTTAAAATTCTCTAGTGTTGAAGTGTTATTAAAATTGTCAAGTGTCGAAGTGTTGTTAACGATAAGCATTGTCACGTAGCAGTGAGCATGTTTATTTGCTATCTGATAACACATTTATCTTAACACTATTAAAACGTAGTCCGATTTTAACTACAATTGGATACTTATGTTGAATTGGCTGATCCACGATTGAAGTCATTGAAAAGTGACGTCACGTGACTTCAAGCCAATCAGGTAGGATAAACACGCGTGACGTTGTTTGTAGATATCCAATTAAATATGATCTAAAAATTGATTTAGAGTGATAATAAGCATAACCTTTAAAGCTGTAACGTTAACTACGTGATTAGGCACAACTTTGTAATTAGTTGCAAGCGCACTCAATTGTTGAAATTATTTTAAAACGAAATAAAAAGTTACAATATATCACTCAAATTATTCTAGGAAAAAAATGTAAACAAATGTAATTAACTGAAAACATAAGCTTTTCATTTCTTAAAAAATATTTCGATTTTTCGGGAGCTATTCAGCCAGAAAAATTTTGTATTTAGGTAGTTTAATTCTGTTTATAACTCTTATTTGAATATTTTAATACTGATGTTGTTAAACTAATTCGAAATTTACAATCTAATATTTCTTAAGGAAAAAAAAAAGAAAAAACTATGAATCATTCTGAACATGAAAGCTTCTTAAAATTTTAATTCATTGAAAACTGTACAGAGTTATGAATTCTGCCGTTTAAAATGTGCAAAAAAATTTCCTTATACATAATTTAAGAAAAAGCACAAGTTTTGATACAGTTAAAAGAAAAGTAGCTGTCATCATTAAACTTTATTTGGGTAAACTAGCTTTAAGATACATATTTTCAATTCTACAATCAGTTTAAGAGTTTAAAGTGCACTGTAAAAAATTGCGGATCAAATTACGGTGAAAAGAGTCGCAATCAGGGTGCCGGTATTTTTTATAGTAAATTCCAATTTTATCGGATCATGTTGAGCAACAATTTTTTTTTATTTTACAGTAAAAATTACAGTAAAATCATCGAATCAATATAATTAAGTAAATACTGTTAAAACCACGGTATGATATTTTAAGATAAAAACGCATTTTACGGATAATGCACCCAAGTTACCGGTACTTTATGCCATAATTTGATCCGGAATGTTTTACAGTGCAGCATTAGAGTGTAGCATGCAAGTCTCCAACTATTCCTTAATAAAAATATTGGGCTACTATTTTTCCCTTTTGGTTATCTTATTATCTTTCATCAAGGTTTAAAAGTCTGCTTAAAATAAAATAAGATATTTTTCTTCTAAAAACATCTGCTTCGATAAACATTGTAATTTAGTTAGTTGCTAGAATTAATTAATCAACGTAATGTCAACGTAAGTGGGTTTTTTCAAACTACAAAAATTTCCTTTTAATGTGTAAAAATCTATCCATATGATCATAGCTTGTACCTGAGTAGTTAAAAAGATTTACAAAATCTTTATGTTTTTTTTAACTGTTTATTTTAATAAAGGCTTTTTTTCAAATGAAGCACTGATAAAAAATATCCCATGATGAAGTAAACAA